AAAATCCCTATTCAAAGTTGATAAAATCTTCAGAGGCCTAATTTCCTACATACTGAGTGTTTCATAATAGGCTGATTCGTGATGGTTAAGCAGTCAACAAACATGTACATGAGAGGCAGCTGTGCTTTAGAAGGTTCATCTAGACTGGATGATGATAGACCAGTGGTTCTCAACCTTGGCTGCACATTAGAATCACCTGGGAATCTTTTTAAAATCTTGATTTCTCGACCTCATCCTCCGGAATTCTGTTTCTTTGTTATGGGGTGGGGCCACAACATTAGTAACAAAGAAACAGAATTTCCGGAGGATGAGGCCCAGAAATCAGGATTTTAAAAAGATTCCCAGGTGATTCTAATGTGCAGCCAAGGTTGAGAACCACTGTGATAGACTCTTCTGTAATTGGAGGCAGCCAGACAATGCTGGACTGATTTGATTTATTCATTTTAAAAAACCATTCTACCCCAGCTTTTAACAAAAATCATGATAATGTTAAGTTTTAGAAGTTCCTCCTCCCCCTCCCCCCTGTTTTTAAAGTGGATATAAAAAGTCACCCAATCTTCCCTAGAAACTATAATAATTTGTGTTTTCTATGTATAAATGAAGTTTTTCAGCATTGTATTTGGTGTATCCTGCTTTTCACTTAGCATTATTTCATAAGCCTATCTCTATGTTGATAGACTTCTCAAGGAATTAAATGCTCTTATTTAATTGATATTACTGAATATTTAGGTTGCATCTCAGTTTTTTTGTTTTAAGTAACCCTGTAGTTGTAGACTAGGGTCAGCTTTTGAATCTAGAATACTATTAGATAGATGTAAGTAGACATTCGATTTTTTTTTTTTTTAGTGATAAGACAAAGAACGTTTGTTTCTCTTTTTGTAGCCACAGACAGAGTGCCCAAGTTATCCTTAAGTCTGAGTCAGTCATGCAGTCATGCTGTCTGGAGAGATGAAGCCATTTATTTGGGCTCTGCAGTTGGGCACAGCTGAGGCCTCACTGACTTGCCTCAGTTGGGGGCCGGCATGGGCTCTTCTTTGATAGCAGGCCAGGTTTCTCTTCCCTGGGACTTACATCAGCTCTTTCAGTGCTGCGTGCCCTTTCTTTCCTCTTAGGGTTCATGTCTCAGGGCGGGACAGCTCATCTTGTAAAGTCTCTTACTGGGATAGTGGTTTATTTTTATGGAAACTGTACATCATATTAAATTATATTTTATTGCATCCCTGCCTGACAGACTTGATCTTCCCTTTGACTGAAGGTGTCTCACTCTCATCCTGTCACTAATAGACATAGGAGTCTCAGCCAAGCCCCAGCCCAGGAGAAGGGAAGAATGAGGGCGTAGTAACGTGGAGGGCGGAGTTAAAGAGGAAAGAAAAGAGAAAACCCAATTCTGAGCCAGAATGGGGTATTCTTTTGGAGCCTGGTCAGAGAGGGAAGTGGAGGCAGGATGCAGGTCTGGAATAATGAGCTCAGTGCACCTCAGGATGGCTTCCTTTCTCTGCCCCTTCTTCCGCTCGACTCCGTGGTAGAGGGCTGGTCTGCTGACCAGGACCAGAAGGGGAAGGAGTAGCCAAATGGGCAGGAGGGGTCGGTTTGGAAAATCAGTGCATGAGGACATCATCTTCATTCCCTTTTTGACCCTTCTCAGGCGTGCCACTCGGAATGGTGATGCCAACGTCTAGCCCTCTCTTCCCACCACCTTCCCTTCCTCTCAGCAGATGCACCTGTCCACAGGTACATCCTCCCCCTGGCAGAGCTCCCACACCTGCCAGCCCACATGGACTTGCTGAGGTCCCTGCTTTTCCTAGTGGCCTCTGGGGTAGGTAGCACTACCTGCCTGGGTCTCAGTGAGGCATTCCTGCCTGTCGGTGTCCTCCCGGGTCCCTCCGGGCCTGGGAACAGCCTATCCCTGTATTCCTTCCAGGACTTCGCTGTGCCTTTGACCTTACCTCTAGGAATCAGGGAAGAGGCATGAACAGAAAGGGACAATGCAGTCATTCAACAGTTCTGGAGAAGGAGATAAAGCAAAGGCCACGGTTTGAGGAGGGCAGCACTTGTGAGCTGGGCCTGTTCTATGGAGGTTCTGTAATCACCATTGGAGGCTTGGGGCCTGGTTCTTCATTTCCCTTTAGGATCTCCTCTTTGCCTCTGTAGCACTTCTGTTTGCTTATATTCTCCCAGATGGAAACAACGTTATATAAGTAGTCATTTTCTTTATGAAAAACGCAATAAAGTTGAAACTTAAAGTGTATCTGGCCCCAGGAAACCTCTTTTATATCCAGCCTGTTTTCCTAAGTGGTCCCTAGCTGCCATGGTTTTCTATTCACTGCATAGTTCTTAGGGTTATTTTTCTCTCTCTCACTTAATTTAGGCCACTCTGTAGGCCCAGCCTCCTGACAACCCACGTCCATCGGTCTTTGCTCCCCGGGTAGTCTCCTGGTGCATCCTTAATGAACTGTTGCAGTCCTCAGGAGAATGGCTCCTTGCCTCCTTCTGACACTGGCGGGTGACCTGCTTACTGCATGTGTCTTCAGCCAGTGGACCAAGCTTCCTCCTTTTCCCTTGGACCACCACCTCTTCAAAGAGCAGATGACTGTCACTCTCTTTGACCTGCATGCCAGCTACAGCTTCCTCCTCAGGTTCCATGAAGTCCCTGGCTCATTCGCTGTTAGGTTGGCCTCTAAAACCAGGTAGCCAAACTGTTATCAAAGCGATTGCACCTTTTTACATTTTCACAAGCAATGTATATAAAGATTCTAGTTTCTCTGCATTCTCGCCAACACGTCATTATGTTTTTGATGACATTCATCCTAGTGGGTGGAAATAATATCTCTTGTGGTTTTGATTTGCACTTTTCTAATCACTAATAATGTTGAGCATCTTTTCATGCGCTTACTGGCCTGTGGGAGGGACCCTGGAGAGGAGTCTGGGCAGGTGTTTGAGAAGAGACAGTTCAGAGAACTATTGCAGCTGAGTGAGTGGTCCGTCTCCCCCATGCCAACTTCCTCCCATATGGATGCCATTGCAGGAAGTGCTAGGGGTCGTGGGGTTGGTGAGATGGAATATATATTTGTACATCAGAACTCTTACACTGCTGCTAGAATGTAAGAGTGCAACCACTTAAGGAAATGATTTGGCAATTTCTTACAAGGTTAAAGATATACTTACCCTATAACCCAACCATTCCACTCCTAGGTATTTACCCAGGAGAAGTAAAAACACACGTCCTCACGAAGGCTTGGGCAGATATTTCATAACAGCTTTATTTCATCAACAGGAAAATGGATAAACAAATTGTGGTACGTCCATATAGTAGAGTACTACTCTGCTGAGTCGTGTACAAATTCAGTGAAATGAACTAATCCATGCAACAGCATGGATAAATCTCAGAAACATTATGCTGAGAGCTAAGGAAGCCAAACACAACAGTACATATGTCAGATTCCACTCATGAAGTTCTAGAACAGGCAAAAGTAATGTGGAAATCAGAACAGAGGTTGTCCCTGAGGGTGGACGGTATTGGCTAGGAAGAGGCATGAGGGAACTTTCTGGCATGATGGAAATGCTCTCTTATCTCCATGGGGGCATGGCTTACACAAGTGTAAGCATTTGGCAAAACCTAGGAAACTACACTTAAGATCTGTGCATTTCACTCTATGTAAATTATATATCAAAAAACAATTTATTGCCATTTGGGAAGATTGGAAATTGCATTACAAATCAGAAGTTATTTTTTACTTGGTCTTGTTTTTTTTCTTTGCAATTCGTAGCTTAAAAGTCTTTTTGTTTTAAAGCACATTGGCCTGCCTGTCAGGGCACTGTGGCCACAGCCAGCTGAGCGACTAGCCTCCTCTCCCTCTATTCTCCTTCCTTAGAATGCCCACATCCTGTTGTGCCCCTTAAGCATACCAGCCCTAGCCTTGGATCTGGCTGATGAGACCCTTAAAGGGACTGGACCTTTTTTGTCTTAATATTTCAAGACATAGTTTGACATCATCAGCAGGAGCAGGGGCCATGTGGTGTCATGGAGAGCCTGATTTTTTCTGTATACTGGGAATAATAGCACTACCTTGTAGTTAGTTGTTGTCAGAGTTAAATGAGGCATCGTGGGCAGGACACCCATCCCTGTGCTTGGCACATGGGGGGCCAGCAAGCGTGGCAGCTGGGGTCCTGGCTTCTCCTGGTCTCCTGTGGCTTCTGCACAGCAGGTGCAGTGGCCAGTCTAGCATGCCTTCTGCTGCTGCAGGCCACCTTCTGGGGCTCTGGGCACACTGTCTTCCCCGCATGTCCTGTGATGCCATCTTATGTCTCGTTGAGAGCTGAGGTAGGGAACTCAGCTAAAAGGTACTGACCTACTATTCTTACTGTGTTTTAAGGGTATCAGCATGGAAGCCATGAGTGAGAATAAAATGGTGCCCTCTGACTATAGCACAGGACCTATGGAAAAAACTTCCAAACCTTTGCCATTTAAGGATCCCAATTTTGTGGTAAGCATCTAAGGCAGCGGTTCTCAACCTGTGGGTCGCGACCCCTTTCACAGGGGTCGCCTAAGACCATCGGAAAACACATATATAATTACATATTGTTTTTGTGATTAATCGCTATGCTTTAATTATGTTCAATTTGTAACAATGAAAATACATCCTGCATATCAGATATTTACATTACGATTCATAACAGTAGCAAAATTACAGTTATGAAGTAGCAACGAAAATAATTTTATGGTTGGGGGTCACCACAACATGAGGAACTGTATTAAAGGGTCGTGGCATTAGGAAGGTTGAGAACCACTGACCTAAGGTATTTGATAAATTACAGTGGGAAGGCTGGGGAGTGTTGGGGGTGGGGGCGTGTAAGAGATCAACTGAAGGACTTGTATGCATGCATATAAGCATAACCAATGGACACAAGACACTGGGGGGCGAGGGGGGGTGAGGGCATGTGCGGGGGAGGGGTGTGGGAGGGGTAGGGGAGGCTGGGGGAAGGTCAATGGGGAAAAAAAGGAGACATATGTACTACTATCTGTAATACTTTAAACAATAAAATAAAATAAAAATATATGTCACACAAAAAAAACAAAAACAAAAAACCAAGCACCCATACTTTGGCTTCTGACCGTGCTGGGCCTGCAGCCCAGGTGGCACTGGTGTCCCCTTCTCTCCAGGTTGCCACCTTCCCTGCCTTGGGCTTTGTGGGAAGGGTGGGGGCAGGAGAAGAAGGGCCCATCCTTTAAGCACATCTAAGCTATTGTATTGTAAAGTAGAAACTGGCTACTTTTCCTGTCGTTCTCAGGGGACTTACACTGATTCAGCTTATACATAAAAGTGTTTTTTTTTTCATTCGTTTTTAAAATACAGTATTGCCAGTGCCTGCAACAGATTTTGCTCTCCTTTTCCATTTTATTTTGTCATCTTCATAGGACAAAAAGAAGAAACATTTCCAGAAGGTGTGCCATGCCGTGCTTGAGGCATAATTGCGTTTTCCAGCATCCCCAGTAATTTGCAAGGCAGAGACTTGTCCTCAGAAGGGAGATTAGAGATGTGGTCATGAGTTTGAATCTAACTTTGTAGTAAATTTATTTTAAAATAATGGGAAATCCCTGAGTGAATTCTATAAAGTTAGACCCAACAAAGGATGTGATTTTCTGTGTGCATGTAAAAAACATAACCTATTAGTAGTATTTCTACTTCATCATCAACTAACTCATGGATTTTGACAACCCAAAAGCATTTTTTTTTATAAGGAAGATTAAAGTGCACAAAGTAATACTTTAAAAAAAAGGCTTAGGGGTACAAATGATTGCTGACAGAATGAGGGGTATATTACAGTTATGAATAAGCATAAATGTCACATTCTGAAATGGTACTTTCCACTGATTTTTGTTTCTCCTTATCCATGCTTCTGATCCCAGCACTCCGGCCATGGTGGCGCAGTAGCTGGCAAGAAGAATAGAACCTGGAAGAACCTGAAACAAATCCTCGCTTCTGAAAGGGCATTGCCGTGGCAACTGAATGATCCTAACTGTGAGCTGTTTAGCACCTTCTTTGAGTGTATAATGTTTCGACTGGGAATTTTCTTACAACAGACCTACGTTATTGTGTTTGCATAAGTGGAGGAAACAGTTTTTAGCTTAGGAATTTTATAGTGGTGTCAATATAGGGAGATTATGTGTACATTTCCTCATAACTATATCTGTACTCTGTTGTCATGGGTGTGTGGTTTTTAATGTCACTGTTAGCATGTCAATCTGGAGAAACAAGTCCTGATATAATAATATTGGTTTGACAAACCAATAAGAAGTTTGGCAAACTTCTCATTCAGAAGTCTACTCTTAAAATTTATTTGCAAGAACAAGGTTGCCCCAGATTTGGTAGGTTTCCTAACAACCAGCTTAAAGGCAAGCTTTGTTTTACTCTCTGAGCCAGTGTTTTTCAGAGTAAATGCTTTAGGCTACAGCATTTCCAGATCTATGTAAAGGGCTGTTTTATATTCTGTCCAGCTTCATTGGAAAGTACAGGTAAAAGTTTCCTCCAGCTCCTGCCCCACTGCACATCTTTCATGGGGGGCGGGGGTGTGTGACTCAGATGGATGACAAGTGAGCTAGTCAGTTGTCTGGGTGTGGACATTCCAGTATCTGGATGCTGAGACCCAAGCAGTGGGTCATCTGGCACCTCATCACCCTCAGCTCATGTAGCCCAAGACGGTGAAAATGGCTTGTGGGCAGACGAGCTTTCCCTGTTCTGCTAGAGTGGATGGTCCCTGGGGGCAGGGCAAAGCTAGCCCTTGGCCTGGAAGGGAGCTGAATGTTTGAAAGTCAGTTTAGTTATCTTCTTTTTCTTTTTTTGCAGACTTCAGTATTGATGCTCCTCCATCCTTCAAACCAGCTAAGAAGTATTCTGATGTTTCAGGTCTTCTTGTGAGTATAATTATATATTATATATATATATTATGCCTCATAACATGGAATTGAAAGGAAGGTTTCACAGTATTGTCTACTTATACAGTGTTCGATATTGACCACCACTGGTCCTGCCTGGAGCCCATATAATTTGAATAGGTAATGGGTTTGTGCTGGAGTGTTCACATGTTTGTTTCAGAGTGGCTGTCACCTGGGCATCATGTGGGCAGTCTGGAGAGAGGATTGTTCCAGAAAGGAGACCAAGTTTCACTTCCCTGTACTTATATGAAAGATGCTTCCTGTTCTTATATGAAAGATGCTTCATATATTCTCATGTTAACTACATGAAAAAAAAAACCCACAAACTTTTATAGTACTCAAGTTTAAAAAGTCTGCATTTTTGAGGGATTGTACTCTTTAAAAAATATTTAAACTTCTCTAAAGAGGCACTATGGTAAAGATAGTGGTTTTCAAACATATTTTTAAGCACCAGAACCCCTTTTCCAAGTGAAATCCTTTACAGAATCCCCTGGAGCCCACCTACCCACTGTGTGGGTCTGGTCCTCTGTCCTCCCCACTGCCCACCACAGTGACCCCTAAAGTGCTTCTAGGAACACAGTTTGAAAACCGTGGTAGGATGAGTGGGACTTAGGCAAGTTGCTGTCCCTCAGGAACCTCAGGGAGCCTTGTCTCCTTTTCAGAATGTAGATGAAGGGTGGAACTTTCAGCTCACCTTCATCCTTTTTCATCACCATTCAACTCGGAAAATGGGCTTTAGAACTGTAGAACTAATAGGTCACTGCACTTTTAAAAACTCATCCGCATCATTTAAATGCTTTACATTTTTATGAAAATGTATGGCTCCAACTTCTATAACAAACTGACTAAATGGTACACAGTTTACATCGGTAAGGATTTGAGTTGTTATTGTAATTTTGAAAATAATATTATTTGTACTCTGAATTAGTCATATGTTTTAGCTTTCCTCCAGAGAGCACACACTCCTCAGTGTATTACAAACTTTTTAATATAGGAACTTAAATACAATGATTCTTAAAAAACGGTAGAGTAGAAGTGCTGTAAAATGGAGCATACCTGCTTGAGTGTACATGTGGTGTGTGTGTGCATGTGTGTGCATGCGTGTATGCTGGGTTCTTTTTGTATCCACTCATGGCATGTATCTCCTCCTAAAGGTCCTCTGACGGGACTTCACCTTGATTCACCTTGAGAGAAATGTTGTAGCCTTATGCTGTCTCTTGTCTACTGCCTGAAAATAGTTGCCTCATATACTTGACCCTTTTTAATAGTTGTTTATGGCAGAAGAACTAGCTTGGCGCCAGTTATTCTGTTATGGCCCCAAATTTCTCCCTGTACCATTTTGTGCTGAGCTTATGGAAGCCATGGGTCATCGGCAGACTTGGAGGGTGGTCCCTTAGAAAATGTAGCTTTATCCTCAGCATCATCAGGCAGCTCATCTGCTGCTCAATGGTTTTCACACATTAGGAGGCATGAAAATCACTGTGAGAACCATTGTTCCAGGCCCCTTTATGCCACTGGCAAAGGACTTGTCATGTTACATAAAACCTAACACCTCTTGCCCCAATGCATGTAAGATTCAAGAAATTCTGAACATACAAAGAACTCTACCATATCATTGAAAGACAAACCATAGAAGAATTGGCTAAAAGACAATTACAAGGAGGAGATACACATGACCAATAAGTGGATATTCATGCTCACTGATAATGAGGAAAAGACTCATCAGGTAGGGAAGAAGTGAATATCCTCATACATTGCTGTTTGAGGTGGGAACCTACATTGGTACGGAGTCTTTGGATGTCAGTTTGGCACTACCTACTGAGACAAAGAAGCAAAAGCCTGTGATCCGGCATTGCCTTCCAGACGGCTCCCTTAGAAACAGTGTGCCCAAGGAGCTGTGTGCAGAAATGTTTGGGAGGAAATGGATTAGCAGAATATTGGAGACAACATAAAGGTCAATCAGTGGGAGAAAGGGGAGTGTTTTCATACTAGTCTGTGAGCTTGATATGTATGTAACAACGAGGATTAACTTCCAAGATATATTGTTTACTGAAAGGTACAAAGCAATGTAGGCTGCATAGTACCACCTAAGTAAAAATCAGCACATGCTTACAAAAAAAAATGTGAGTAATTTCTCTGGTGTGTTTATGTTTGTGTGAGGTAAGTACCCAGTCTGGAAAGTACCCACCTAGCAGTGGTATCCTCAGGGGAAGGCAAAAGACTTGGGGTGGTAGAAGGGGACTTTAGTGTTATTCGAAATGTTGTCTTTTTATTTTCTCTTTTAGAGGAAAATATGTTCGTCTGTTACTTGTATAAATTAAAGTTACATAATTAAAAAATAAGCCCAGCTCATGTTTATACTGACCCACCTTTTCCCAGCCAGCCAAGCAACTGTTTCCCTGTGTGTGGGCATGGCAGGGAGGCATGCAGGGTCACATCTGTGTTTAGCTAGCTGTTGTTACACAGCTATGGAAAGCACTAGGCTCTGGGAGAGATGGGGGGCAGTGAGCACTGCGGTCACCCCGCAGCGGAGGAGGCCTGAAATCTGTTTGCTGCCTGCCCTCTTTGCGGGGTGGGGGTGGGGGGGAGAGGGAGGGGGAAGATGGCCTTTGTTTCATTCGGGCGCCCTGGATGGAATCCGGAGGAGGTTCTGACTAGGAGTGCAGTTCTTTACTGGTTCAGCTGTGCTGTGTACTTGGCACCCTCCCCTCTGTTCAGAACTCTAGGTCAGGTGCCGTCTGCACAAGTTCTCCTTGGTGACCTTTTTGTTAGTGCCACAGTATCTGTGCATTTTGCATTAGTTATTCA